AACACAGTCAATCAGATTTGGTATATGCCCTGAAAGAAGAAATGGAAGGTCTAGGTTTCAAGCAAGCAAAAAGAAAAATAAATAAGGTCAGTGCTCTGCAAGGTGTTGGATCCAAACTCGCTCGGATCCTCTGAAGTCTTCAATCCCAAAACAGTTAATAATTGTACTTAGGCAAGGAAAAAAAGGGTTTCAGTTGCCCAACTTAGAGAAAATAAGAAGTGGCGATGTTTGAGGAAGGGAGAGTGTGCAAGTGCAAAAATATAACATGCCATTGTTCACCACCTTATAAGAAATCGGAGAGTTTCATTGTCTCTCTTTTTTTTTTTTTTTTTTTCCCTCTTAAACGCCCGGGAAAAAAATACTTCCCAAAGGTCAGTTTGAGAGTTTACAGGTGCCTAAACTACATCAAGGTGGAAGCATGAAGCAAAGACATGGCAGAAACTTCAGGTTTTCCCAAACGGCCATCAAAAAGGTGCACGTGCTTTTAGTAAAAATGCATATCTACCAAATCTCCACTGACTACCAAAAGGCCACTTTGCATATGAGAAGTCGCATCAATTGGCGATGCCAATGCTTGGTTTTTTGCCTTCTCCTTCCACCCACCTCCCCAATTTTTTCTTTTTTTTTTTTTTTTTTCCTTGGGAGACATACAGCGCCACTGCATTAGAACGTACAAGAAATGAAAACAGTGAGTACGACTGATATAGATCCATTGACTTTTTATTACAAATGTACTTGATCACTTGGCTTCAAAAAGTTTAAATCAATCCCTATTTTCTGTACGCCAGTACAAAGTAAAATCTATTTTACAAATTAAATACCTAAAAAATTTGACAAAAATATTAAAGTTTGATGGAAAAAACAGTTATAAAAATCTTAAATCCCCTTTTAAGAAGGTAAGAGACAACATCCCCTCCCAGCCCCACAGTCCTGTTATACAATATTAATAGTCATTTTTAGAATAGGTAGGTATGTTATATTTTGCTGTTAGCATACAAGTCACTCTAATAGCTTTATCTGTATATACTCCAGTTAGTGCATGAATGCCGTCTGATTGAATATAATCAACTATCTTTAACTGTTCCCTATTTTACATTTAATAGCTTGCATAGTTTGAAGGGACAAAGGTTATACTACAGCTAATCATAAAAAAAGGTGGTTACAGTGCTATTTTTAAAGGCAACAAAGTAATTGCTCCCCCCTACCCCCAAAAAAGAAGTTATCAGTCGGCTCGGAGCAGGGGTTAAAATTATCAGCAGCTTTCTGCCTTGCTTGATAGGATTGCATCTGTCTCGCTAGCCAGGTGCCCGCTTTGGGGCAGCCTTTCTACTCTTTACAATAGTAAAGTTTTGGGTTTTCTGCTTCTCAGCGGACGCTACACTGAGCCAATTTCAACCCCTGCAAGGGATATGCAAGCAAGTGACACTGTCAAGTATTTTTTTTTTTTTTTAATAAATACCCTCTCCATTGCATACAAGGATGCCCGGCTGGAAGCTCGGGCAGAACCTCCCATCCTCATCCCACAACTGACTCTTTCTCTACCTCCTTATCCGCCGCCCCCACGACTGCTGCTCGTGCTCGGCCCGAGCTGCGGCTTCCTCGGCACCCCGGCTCGTGGGGACAGTCTGCCCGGGCACCGCTCGCTCCCCGGGCGCCGGCGCCGCCGCCTCTCCCGGCAGCACCGCGAGCAGGACCACAAAGAAGAGGCACGAATCAACAGCGGCTACTGCTTTTTCTTTATCTCTCTTTTTTTTTTTTTCTTTTTATTATTTAATTTCTTAAGAGACAGAGCAATTTTTTTAACAAAAAAAAAAAAAAAAGAACCTTTGAATTTGGAGGACATTTTTCCATTAGAGTAGAACCAGTTTCAAGGAAAGTCATCTTTTAAGGGTAAATTACTTGACAGTGTCCCTTTAGCTTAAAAATAAAATAATGTCAGTATTGCAATGAATTTCAAGTTTTCTTGCACGTAGTCATTATAAAGTAGTTTTATCATGCTCTTGGACCTATTCTACAAGACATTTAAAAGCATATCATCAAGGAAAATATAAGGCATACTTTTCAGGAATTAGATATCTTGGCACATTTGAGCATACTGTCTTTTGTTTTTTTTTTTTTTAAAAAAAACAACACATATGGTCAAATATACCCTTCTTCTTCTAACATTAAACAGGGTTTTCTGTACTTTGTTTTAAATACTGAGATATTAGAGCCTTGGTAAAGTACCGAGCACCTCTGGGAAAAAAAAAAAAAAAAAGAGCAAGCAAAAAAATAGCAACTTTACAGTCATTTAGTCTTTCATCATCATCATTCATGAAGTCCTAGAACATATATAACGTGCATTATAAGGAACAAACAAAAAAAAAATTAAAGAAGAAAACAAAACAGACCTCCAAACCAAAACAACTGAGCACAAACTCTCAGCCACTGTTCACAGAACCGGCCAGCGGGGTGTGGGGCTGCGGGCGCGAGGGGAGCCCCCGCGCTGGGGGGCAGGACG